AGCCTTCTGTGAGACTGAGCTCCAGGGTGGACAAATGAGCTAGAGATTAATGGTGAGGGGAACCACAACCTAGGTCTTCTGACTTTAGTTGAATGATTTTTTCCTCCTAAACAATAAAATCTAAAGAGAGTTTTATTACTCTCTGGTAGCATACAAGTTAGTTCAAACCATGTAAACTTCTTGAAAGTTTTCATGGAACTTGCTTTAAAAAATACAGCTTTTACAGAAGTGAACCCTAGCTTTCTCCTCCTGTGACTTGGGAGGAATGAGGATTAGCAATCTGTTGGACAAATAAAATACACTTTTTGCAGAAAAAGCTTTCTGTTGTTATTTGAAATACTCTTCAATATACAAACAGTAGTTACACCACCATCTTTTGTATATTATGTCAGAATTCCTATAAAAATGAGAGGAACTTCATGTCAAAAAACTTGAAGAGGCATACCTCTATTTTTTAGTCTTTAATAAAATTTTAAAAATAGATTTTAAATTGGTTCTGGATTTTGATAGCCATTTCCCTTTCTGAAGTACTATTCTCTACTTAGCACAATAAAGTAAGAATAGTTAGACTAGACTTGCATCTTAATTCTGTAATGGGGTGGTGATGATACTAGCCTTTGTTAAGCTCTTCCTGTGTCTACTTAACATGCATTATATCATGAATCCTCATAATAACTTTATGTAACTGCTACTATTATATCCCTTTTCCTAATGGGAAAACAGGCTCAGAAAGACTGGTAACTTTCCCTCTGTCAGAGAGCTAACAAATGGAGGACTAGAGATACGAACCCCAGACTTTCTATTTTATGCACTTTAACCTTCATGTTTTTTTTACCATATCTGCATACCACCTATTTATTTACTGTATTTTGAAATCACTGTATTTTTTTTAGACCATCTTCAGCCAAAGCAATACTGTGCATGAAATCACAGGTTTAATGTCCCAGTTAACATTTTTTTTCTAATATACGTCAGCACAAATGTGTACCTGTAAAAGTTTAAGTTCTTGGTGCCACCTAAAATCATCTCAGGTACCAAATTCTGTGAGAACCTCCATTACATTGTATTTGTAAGGATAAACTTTTAAATTTTATTTTCCCCGGGAAACAAATAAACCTGCACATGTTG